TGGGGAATGACCTTAACTCTATTTTGAAAGGTAGTTTCCTTTGTGTTAAAACATTCAACCAATCACAACAGTCGTAAACAGACAATAAAAGCTTCCAATTTTCCAATGTTCCCCACATAGGATTACTGTGGTATTTAGATTCAGAACAGGTTTTGCTGAAAGGAAGATAGTTAATCAGTTGCGCATAAATATATATATAGCTATCTGAAGTTTTGGTAGAGTTTGTTTATTGAGTCAATCAGAAGTATGGTACAACAATAGCAAAACTGCACTAAAGTTAGCACCTTTTTGCATTCCTTGCCGCGTGGTGCTATCCTTCTCATATGGACCGTTACTTAATAGAGGTTCGACTGTATAAATAGTCTAAATGTAAATTAGCCTCTCCAACCTCGTTACCTCGTTTGAGAATAAAAATTCTTTTGAAGTTAAAACGAGTTTAGTAACGCTAATTTTAATCCTTGCAAAAGAATTTACAATTGGTAACCATTTATGAAAAGGGTATATAGCAGTGTTCTCAAACATAATAAATTTTTACTTCAAGAAAAATACTGATTTCCCAAATGAGAGAAATATTATTGTCACAGCTTTATGTAGACTTGAGACTTAAGACCTAAGATTTCTTTCATAGTTGAAGGATGTGGAAGACATTGTTATTGCCAAGATGGACGCTACAGCTAATGATGTGCCTCCACCTTACCAAGTACAAGGGTGAGTCAGTGTTTGGAGACAAGATCTTCTATCTTTTTACTTATAATACCTTAAAGAAGTTTTCACTTGAGGGTCAAAAGTAGATTCGCCTTTGCTGTGGTTTTTCATTACCACGCTGCGGGAATGGCTTAAAAATTCGTGCCATTTTGTCATCCAATCAGAAGTAAAACCAAAACCAATCGCGACTCGCTCGCACACGTTTTCCCGCGCTTTGCCTCGGCTACATGTATTTGCTTCGAGTTTTGATTGGTTCACAGGATTGTCTGCGTTCTTTGTGATTGGCCAGAGTGAAAACTTTTGCTATTGGTTCTACGGCACTCCATTGAAAACTGCTCTAGTGGTAGCAATTGGTGGTTTTCGTCAATGTAACATTTCAGTCAGTTAAAAACAAGCTAACTAAAAACGGACGTTCGCGAACCCTGATTTTATCTTTGCCATGACCGCTAGCTCGCATCAGAGACACTATTAATCTGAAAGGTGTTTGAAGATGCCGTTTTGAGGGCTGATTTAGATGTCAAAGTCACTTGAAGATGAATATGAAGCGTATTAAACTCGGAAACACCCGAAAAATGGGAGCAGGCAGTGAATCAAAAACACTTTTTTCTATGTACTTTTTCAATAAAATAATTGGTTTTGTCGTTCGGGCGATGGGGAACATAACATTCCATGGCGATAGCTTAATTGTATTACACGGTGTTTTACCGCCAAAATATTGGGATTGGAAGAAACCTGTATCATTGGCTCATTGTTTTATTTTTGAACTAAAAGCTCGCTAATAAAAACCACGGACTTTTGTTGTCTTCACAGTTTTCCAACACTTTACTTCTCACCAAAGAAAAGTAAGGATACGCCAAAGAAATATAACGGCGGAAGGGATGTGGATTCTTTCATAGAATACCTCAAGCGTGAAGCAACGAACACATTTGAAGTTCCCGCCGAGGAGAAGAAGAAGAAGAAAAAGAAGACCAAGAAAGACAAAGATGAATTATAAAGTACCATAACAATGTTTTTGTAAAACTAGATTTAACAAATTTAGGTCTAAACTGCTTTGTTATTCGAAATGGGCCTCTCTTTTTAAATAACAGAGATTTGTCACCAGAACAGACTTCGAACTAGGAGTTCCCACTGCTCCTTTCGGCTCACTCTAGTCTAGTTCTGGCTCTCTCACTCTCTCTGTCAAGCAACGTGACGCTCTCGGAGAGAGGAACGCGCGTGTAGCGTTGCGTGACAGAGTGCCAGAATTGGACCACGCTCAACCCCATAAAATAAAGATTTAAAGCTGTGGTAAATTTGTTATCGCCTAAATTAATACTGCCTAAATGTGAGTTATCACAGAGTTTTTCGCTTGGGGTTCAAGGTGCAAGAAGAGTTTTTGGGAATATTTTCGGTGGAATAATTAAATCAACTCTTTTGAAGAATTCCTGCGTGGTTCGTGTTTGAATCTCTTCGATTAATGTTAGGGGAAGGTAATGCTGTTTGCAAAGAGGATTCTTTGTAAAGTTAACTTTCGTCCCGAGAAAGGACTGGACCTGTTTTCCCGTGATGCATCCGTGTGACATCAAACTGACGTCATAAACTGCAATGATGTCCATGTTCTCTGTAATATGTCAAACACAAAAGGCCGTGTTTGACCACATTTCCAAACACCGAGAAGAGAGTTGAAAATACGACGCGTAGCGGAGTAATTTGACGAACTTCGAGGTGTTTGGAAATGTGGTCAAACACTGTCTTGGGTGTTTGATATATCTTCTCAACTAAGGAGAAAACAGAGGAGTCAAATCGTACAAAATCCATGCAAAAACAGCTGCGACTGATAATACTGGTTGCTAAGGAGCGGACCTTGTTTTGTAACCATTGTGGGGATGCACGCAGGGGTAATGGCGGCACCCCCGCCTTGCCAGCTTAATTCCCTTGAAATCCTACACAGTTTTAAACTGTCCTCCACTCGAAGTAAATAGGAACCACGGTGCCTAAGTGCAGGCCAGGGTCATTGCACTGTGTTCTTGAGCAAAACAATTTATTCTCGCAGTCCCTCTCTTCACCCAGGTGTACAAACAGGTACCGGCGAATTTAATGCTGTCGGTAGCCTTGGGATTGACTAGCATCCGATCCAGGGGGGAGGGTACAAATATTCCCAGTCAATGGGCCATTAGCCACGAACGTGGACTTAACCCACGCAAAGGTTACCTTGACTGTTTTACAACATAACAAAGTTCTAACAATTGTGACTCTGTTTTAATATTACCTCCATTTGTTTCATAAACATCCGGTTGTTATTTCGCAATATTGTTCTGTTTGCGAGGCGCAATGTGCTTTGCAGGAGTTTACCGGAAAGAAAAGCTCTTGAAAAAGTAATACAAACGTGCCGACTTCCCTCGGCAGACATGTTCTGAGATTGAAAACGGATATTGGTAACTCGCGTTGTCTAAATAAACTGAAATAATTCCGGTAGCAGCAACTCGCATACTATCTAAAATTTCAACACCTTTCTACATTATCT